CACACACACACACACACACACACACACACACACAATTTGGGACTTCTGTCCCTTGATCCCTTAATCGGACTGGCATGGGCTGATCCCCCCGTCAAGTGACTGCGGGGGACTGCCATCGCTATCCGGGTCATCATCACTAATGACACGCTTCTTGCGAGCCGTAGTGTTGAGGCGTCCGTGCTGCGACGCAGTCTTCTCGACTGTCATTTTTTTCTGGGCCTTCCACGGCCGCGTCGGGGCGCTTTGGGGGACTCCTCCGCTGTTGTCTTCCTCTTCCTGCCTGCCCTGCTCTTCCAGAGGTTGTCATGGTGGAGAGCATCGTTCAATTCAGGGAAAGGGGGCGTGCTGATGTCCTTTGCGGCCTGTGGCTCTTCCTGCTGCTCCTTCCCCCTCTCGCTAATTGCAACCTGCTGGTCGGTGGTCTCTCCCTCCGCTCCCACTTCTTGCTCCACGCATGGGCGGGGCTTGCGCGTGTACACGGCAACTGCTGCTTGCTGCTCTTCCGCTACGTCCACGGGCTCCCCTTGCTTCTGCTCGCCCTTGTCCATGGCAGGTTGGACATCCCCGTCCATTTCCTTCAAGGCCTCGCCCCCATGCTTTTCTTGTTGTGCAGCACGCCTCTCCCTCTCCCTGCGGGTAGGGATCGCTGCACGACGGGCCTCCTCCTCAGCGATCCGCCTGTCCATGAGTTCACGATCCCTGTCCGCCATCTCCTTTGCACGGGTGGCCTCTTCCTCGTCCGGGTCATCATGGCGGTGCAGCAAAAACTCTACGTCCATGTCCACTCTATCGACGACCGGCGTAGGCTCAACCTCGAAATCCCTGTCCTGTCGCCGACTTCGCCTACCAACATACGTGGTCGTCGGGACTGCAGGCACCACAACGAGCTCGAAATCGGAGTCCTCATCCTTGTTGCAGTCCTCCGATGATGACTCGTTTCAGCACTTCCCCTTCCACACCATATCCTCGAGGTCGCTGCTATCACTGGTGTCGGAATCGAAAAGGTTTTGAGGGATCCTGTTTCTTGGAGCCTTCGCCATGTTCCTTTGCCTCATCTCCTCATCCTGTTTCTCAGCAGCATCCTCAGTATCGGTCACCAGCGTCGACCCGTCATTCTGTTGTGGCTTCATGATTGGGTCGAAGAACGAACCCCAGACATCAACCAACCTGTTGTCCTTGTGGTGCCTCGGACCTCACTATGTAGTACACAAGGTCGGATCTCCTGCGCAACTTTTCCCCTGACCATCTCAACGCTCTCCACTTTCCAGCCGACCTCCCATCCACCATCTCAACAAGAACATCCTCTCTGTCTGCTAGCCGTTGGAGCATTTGATACACAGATCCAAACCGCACTTCTGTCGGACGAAGTAAGGACAATGAGTCATCGACAGTCATCATCAAGTCGTGCGTGGCATGATGATTTTGGATGGACTTCATGATTGTGTTCGCAGTTTTCACTGTGCCCTTGATCCACGGTAGGTTGGCCAAATCCTTGAGAAGGAGACTGCAACAGTGTGCCCCGCAGGGAACCCATGGAATTCTGGCCACGTCTTTGTCCTTGCGCCGTTCTAGGATCTGTGCCGCCTTCTTGTTAACTTCAACGTTGTCGGGCAGATCGCGTTGATGCGTTGCAGTCCAGTCTCCCTCATTACCTGCTCCCACAACTTTGCCAATGCCACCACATTCTTCTTCCTATCAGTCATTGTCACCGTGGTCACGAGCACCGCGAGTTGGCTATCTCCAGGTACACGGCATGCAATGTCTGAGTAGTGTCCATGTTCAAGAAATTGAAAGCAATACCAGCCCTGAACATGGCCTCTGCCCACGCAATGTCCAGCTTCTTCTGCGCCGCATTGTCCACCCACCGTCGCACAGTGGTCTGTCTCAAGGTGGTCATTCGTGTTGTCGACCCTTGCCCTTCCTCACCGCCTCCGTCCTCCGCTGCACCTCCACCCTCGACAGCCTCATCAAGTGCATCAACAAGCATGTTTGCAATGCCAGCAACTCCCCGCCCCGCAACAGGCAGTGGCTGGGGTTTGTCCGTCTGCGGATCTTCCAAGCCTTCCTCTCCACATGGTGCATGATCACGATGTACATCTGATTCGGCCTCGCCTCCCTTGTAATTCCTCAACAAGTACTTCGTGTTCTTGTCGTTTGGCTGCACCTTAGCACCGCCAACAACCAAAGTGTGGACTATCTCATCTGTCTGCAGCGCACACGGCTTCATCGGCTTCAAGAAATGCTCGGCAGCCTTACTTGCCGACCCCCTCCAGATTGTCGAGCACAACCTGCACCTGACCCAGTACTCCCCCCTCCCTTTTCAAGTAGCTACCTCTTGTCCCTGCTCACACCAGATCCAAACCTGTTTTTTTTTTGCAGTGCAACATGTGCCGCCTCACTCCTCCTCTGGAACAAGCTTGCGTCGGTTCCTAGGGTGGGCTCCTTCCCCCCGCCAGCTGAAGTAGCCAATGCAGATGTTGTCCTTCACGTACTCGATTCAGGCTTGTTAACAACAGGCACTGCAGGTCCTTTCGCCTTTGCCGCTGTCGTTGCTCTTCCCCGACTGCCTCGTTCTTCATCACCCCCCGTCATGGCCACCCGTGAGATATGAGAACAACAACAATAACAAAAAGAGGAAGTAGAAGAAGAGGAGGGGGGGGAAGATGAGCGACTTTTTGAAGGTAAAAATAAATGTTGGTTGTGGCTATGGCTACGGTTGGAGGACGACGACGGGACTGCTGGGCGAAGATCAATAAGAACAAGTTGAAAAAAAAAAAAAAAAAAAAAAACTTCGCCTCTGGCTATGACTACCAACGTGGGGGAGGAAGAAGAAGAAGAAGAAGAAAAGAAAGAAGAAGTTAAAATAATAAATATTTTTTTTTGTCGGCATTGGCTATGACTACGACAAAGGGGCAGACTCGAAGAAGAAGAAGAAAAATGAGAAGAAGAAGAAGAAGAAGAAGAAGAAGAAGAAGAAGAAGAAGAAGAAGAAGAAGAAGGGACAAGAGGAAGAAGAAGACGAAAAAGAACAAGAAAAGCCGCAGTAAAAAAAAAAAAAAAAAGCAGTCTAACTATGGCTACCGGTGTGGGGGATGGCAGATTCTGAAGAAGAAGAAGAAGAAGAAGAAGAAGAAGAAGAAGAAGAAGAAGAAGAGGAAGAAGAAGAAGAAGAGGAAGAAGAAGAAGAAGAACAAGATGACGACGAAGAAGAAGAAGAAAAAAAAAATCACACGTTGTAGCTATGGCTGCCAATGAGGAGGGACAAGGGGAAGAAGAAGATGAAGAAGAACAACAAAAGCCGCAGTTTTAAAAAAAAAAACAAAAAAAAAAACAAGTCTAACTATGGCTATGGATATGGCTACCTGTGCGGGGGATAGCATCAGCAGCAGCAACAGCAGCAGCAGCAGCAGCAGAAGAAGAAGAAGAAGAAGAAAACCTTTGCGCCCCCCCCCCTCCTCTCTCTCTGTCTCCCAGACTGTTTTGTCGGACTTTCACCGAACTCGTGTGTGGGTGTGTGTCTGTGTCTGTGTCTGTGTGTTTGTGGGGGGGAGGGGAACCCCAAATCAATCAATCAATCGAAAAAAACAAAAAAACAGCGGGCATCGCCGCACGTGCGTGTGTGTGTGTGTGTGTGTGTGTGTGTGTGCGTGTGCGTGTGCGTGTTTGATATGAGAACAGGACGCTACCGCTACGGCGAGCTGTGCTTGAAAGTGCAACCAAAATTCATACCATCAGAAGGATGAGTGATCCACATCGTATGAAGAAGTTTCATACATCCCAAACACGAAAGCAACAAATGTGCATACATCAACCTCTATCTTTCACCAATCCTACCAACACCACAGGACCATGGCCCAAAGGCATTAGGCCACAAGACCATAAAAGCAAAGCAAAAGACAATCACAACTCGTCGCAGCACAGAGAAGCGAGTCTAAAAAAACGACATAAGACAATCGACAAGGCACAAAACAACGTGCAGCAGCGAAAGGTTGGAGGGCAAGGGGGAGGCGGGTGGGCACACAAAGACATGAGGTAACAGTGCATGGCAAAAGGCAAAGGTTGAAGGGCACAAGGAAGGCAGGTAGGCAGACAACACACAAGCAAATAAAGCAGACAACTATGAATCCCCTGCGGCCGCGGTCTGCCACAGCCCGCTGCCGCCGAGGGGAGAGGGGGTTGGGGGTGGGGGTTGCGGATTGGGGTTCCTGAACCCCGACACTACCCCCTTGAACAAAAGTTCAAAAAGAAGATTTTCGGGGGGGTGGTTTTTGGTGCGTGGGAAAAAAAAATAAAAAAATAAAAAAATAAAAAAATTGAATGATTGATTGATTGATTGATAGATTGATTGATTTTTGATTGATTTTTGATTGATTGATTGATTGATTGGTGGGGGAGGGGTCCTCTCTCCCCTCCGCCCGGCACACGCACGCACACACACACACACACACACACACACACACACACAC